GTTTTTTTTTTTTTTTTCAATATTAATTCTATTATAAAGTCCTGATCAGGAGAACAAATCTCAGTTGAAAAAAATAACCAACTTTTAAGGTTGCACGTAACTATCACACAGAGGCCAATTCAATTCAAACAAAGAAACTATACTATACATCTCTTTTTCAAATTATAAAAGGTACACTCCACCAGAAATGTTTGAAAACAACATTATTATTTATTATATATGTTAGCTAGAAAACGGTATATATAATTACTATTTGAACTGATGATCAGTCGAAGTTATTTGCTTTTTTAATGAAAAATGCATAATTATTTTATGAAATCTCTTGTTTTTGTTTGTTTTTTGCTTGTTAGAATGTGACATTGTAAATCTAAAAATACACATTTATTTGTATACATGAAGTGACTTATAATAAACTGTTTGAACTTATAATAAACTGACTTATGAAGTTCATATATAATTATATTTTATAGGAAATAAGGAAAATGAAATCAATAATTTCATCTTGTTTGCTAATTCGTATATGCATGGTCGATCCAAACGACTTTTTCAAAAGCTCAAACTGAAGGTAAAACTAATAATTTCTGTTGAATGATAATTTTTCTTTTTTTCTTTAAAAAAAAAAAAAAAAAAAAAAACAAAAATTATACTGGCGCTCTTGAGCAATACCAGGGTGAGTTTTACAACAGAAAATTAGAGGCCCAGTGAGCCTATTGGACCAGATGAGATGGGCGACGTATGGCCCAACTAAACCCAATTCTACATCTTGGTTTGGGTTGGACATGGAACCCATACTAGGGTAGTTTAAAATATTATTTAGTCCATAATTTATTCCCAATGACCTTGTAAGCATGCTTGTTTATAAGTTTTTTTTTGGTTTTGATTGGGTTTTTGGTTTGGGTTGGTTAAAATTGAAAAAGTTGGTATGATTAATTGTTAGTTGGTATATTAAAATAATTTTTAAAATAAAATAATTAAAATTAAATTGATGTAAAAGTAGGAGAGAGAGAAGATGTGATGTGATGGTTAGTTAAAATTATGTGAGTAGATGAATAGTAAATTAAGGTTGATGTTGTGTGTAAGAATGATTGATTGATATTATTTAATTATATTGATAATATTGATGATAGTGGGTTGATTGATTGATATTATTTAATTATATTGATGATAGTTGATTGAGTTAAAGTTGAGTTAAAAAAAGTGGTTGAGTTAAAAATGATTGGATTTTTTTTGGGAAAAACTTATAAAACTATCATCAATATTATCAATATAATCATTTAATCATTTAATCCTACTTTTTACATCAAATTGATTTTAATCATTTAATTTTTAAATATTATTTTAATATACTCACTAACAACTAATCATACCAAGTTTTTAAAACTAACCAAACCAAACAAAAAATTTCAA